ACTATTACTTCTTCCCACCCCAATGGCTTCGGCTTTGATATCAACTAAATTACATTTGAAGAAAAATAGTGTAGTGATGTCTTCAGAGTGACTCCTGTGATGCATTGCCAATGTTTATTGTAACCGATAACGTTCCAAACTTACCACATAGGACGGTACAGGTACAGGCTTTAGTTTCAACCTGAATCGAGCAGACATTTGGAACCCCTGTCTTCGTTGTAAATATAGGAGAACTATATTTCTATTTTGGAACAAGATGATACTTTTGTTACTTTCTTTTAAAAACATTTGAGAACAATTGCTGTGTACAGCAAGTATTGTTATCTCCCAATTTAACAGCAGCTTGTGTGAAATATATGGTAATCTTGCATTTCGCACACAACTTTCAAAGGATGGATGGTTATTCATCCCAATGGCTCAGATATTATTTCTTTTAAAAACATTTGAGAACAATTGTTGTGTACAGCAAAGTATTCATCTGTTTCAAGATGTGTGGGATTTAAGGGAAATAACTCCAGCTTAACTAATTCGCGACTTACAATGTTATCTCCCATTAACTGTGGAAATTTATGGTAATTTGGCATTTCGCACCCAGGACGGCTGGTTATTCATCCGAATGGCTCATGATATTATTTCCAGGCCCAGCAGAGATGGCTTAGCAATGCTGGGCAGATTTTTAGGGACCCTGATGAACTGGTTTGGCAAAAGGAGAAAGAAAACTCTAAACTTCACTACAACTGTTTGACATTATCGTAATTAAATTCATGTTGCCAAGCAACCGTTACTAGGCCTACCGCAGTTTCCTACAGTTTTGTGATGGAAACATTCAAGTAGTTACTAAACTTTGGATGAGTACGTGGTGTCGTAACTGGCGATTGGGCTTCAGTAAACCCTACCCCATGCCACTTGCTCAGTGCCAAACCTGTCTTTTTATATGGTTCGAGCATGGCCTGATCTTGATCACATGTTTCAGCTCATTGTTTTGATTCGTTAATCCTGTATCGGCCCTAGCGCTCATGAATATTACGATTGGAAAAGTACCGGTAAGAATCGTTCGGTCTCTCTCCCTTTTTTATTAATTTGTTGTTTGTTTCAATATAAGATTAATCTGTGTTCTGTCTCTCTTTCCATAGCCTACGGCTAAACGCCATTCGCTCGAATCTCTGTTTGCCTAACCATTATGACACAGGGGCGTGTCACGCTTAGAAACAGCGTTAGAAAGACATATAGGTATATAGACCCTACCCTAGTACTATATGTACTAGGGTAGGGTTTATATACCTATATGTTTTTGTAACGCTGTTTCTAAGCGTGACACGCCCCTGTGCATTATGACTCATGAGCAAAACTGCAAATCTAAATACGGACTCTGATGTAATTCTCTCATGGTTTTAGGGATGCATTTTTACCTTATAACAATGGTCATAACATTTTGAAGCGAAATAACACAGTCAGTTGTTTCATTTGATCTTGCATGAATACCACAGCTTGCATCCGAACTATTCAAATCGGGAATCGGCCTCCCACATTGCCGGTGTTATATAAGATATATTGTGATGTATGATAACCTACTCATTGTCCCAGTGTACATATCACGTGATTATTACTTTCTTTTTTCAGTTCACAAACACTTCTCCACACAATCGTAAAGGTTGTCAAGACTGGAGACGGTTTTTAACCAACTGAAATGGAAGTCGCAGACATGGAAGAAACGTGAAAACAACCAAACTGAATCGATTACACTGTATCTCAAAGATTCTTAGAATAAAAATGAATCGTTCATGACGTATTTCGTTTTTATCTTCCATCATATCGTGTTACATATGATCTCTCTTTGAAGATCCGGGTTAGAATTGATCTTCAGTAACCCATTCTTGTCGTAAAAAGGTGACTAACGGGATCGGGTGGTCAGACTCGCTGACTTGACTGACGCATGTCATCATGTCCTAATTGCGTTGATCGATGCTCATGCTGTTGATCACTGGATTTTGTTGTCCAGACTGGATTATTTACATACCACGGCCATATATTTGGACTATTGCTGAATGTGATGTCAAACAACAAACAAACAAAACAAAATACACAGATCCCTAGTCCACTGAATCTGCCGTCATCCTCTTTAAGTAGTGGCATCAACACATCATCTACATCTACAACCAACCGTAATATTAATATCAATATCAAAGTTGGCAAAGACATCGTTGATAACGATGTCAGAACTCAGTCTAATTATTATGTTGTTATGGCAACTTCCTGACATTTTCTTGTGAGACTCGTCCTCCACATCCTTCCAAAAGGTCTTCATCGCAATTCACATGAATCCCGATTCACTTTGCACATCCGTGAGGGGGGGTGGTCGTGTCTGGTGACCATGAAATAAACGTTAACCCAGTGTCAACCTAAGGTGTTGGGTGTTGATTTGGTGTTGGGTGTTGAGTTGGTGTTGAGTTGAGTTATGGTGTGGTGTAGTATCTTTACTTAAGTTCACACCATACTGTGCAAGGTCGCTGGAGGGTGGGAGTACTATATCAGAGCAACATACTGACACCCCTTGCCATTTTCAAAGTTTATAGGTCGATATTTTGTTTTGCCAGGACGACAACACCTGTGTTCACAAATTTCCAATGTTCACATCCAGCACACAACTTCCATAAAAACTTATAGGTCGACATTTTGTCTTTCAGGGCGACAACACCTGTGTTCACAAATTTCCAATGTTCACATCCAGCAGCACAACATCCATAAAAACTTGTAGGTCGACATTTTGTCTTTCACGACGACAGCACCTGTGTTCACAAATTTCCAAAGTTCACACCCAGCAGCACAACATCAATAAAAACTTATAGGTCAACATTTTGTTTTTGAGGACGACAACACCTGTGTTCACAAATTGTCAATGTTCACATCCAGCAGCACAACACCCATAAAAACCTATAGGTCAACATCTTGTTTTTGAGGACGACAACACCTGTGTTCACAAATTGTCAATGTTCACATCCAGCAGCACAACATCCATAAAATACCACTGGCCAGCACTAATCCATAACCTGTCTCTTACTGAGCACGTATGGGGCATGACAGAGATATGTTCGTAACTGTAGTATTCCGCCAAAAACGTTGACCGAACTTGATCAGGCAGGTGTTGCAAGAGGAGCAGGAAAGATTCCTCAAATCGCCATTGGGAGAGGTTTTTTTAAACAGTATATGTGTTGACATTCCGTTTACGTCTATTCAAGTTTCATCGTCAGTGTTCTGTAATTAATGATAACAAACAACTTCTGGTAATGGACATTGTGTTTAAAATCTTGCAGAAAATATTCAAACTGAAAAATATGAATCCAGCGTTTCACTCGACATTTCTACCTCACTGCATGCACATGAACTTAAACAGTCATACACAAGATTAAACTTGAAATTCAAGCCCTTCTCATGTGATACTGTACTCACATTTTTAACATACCAAATATTCCACTCGGAATTCCACATGCCTCATGATGTTTGAGGTTCTGTGACTGGGCTCAGTCAGTTACTTTTTACAGTAGCACATTCCACATCACACAGTTCTATTCCCAATGAGACTGTACAGACTAACTAATTTTCTGATAGGCAATCAGATATGTATTAGTCATATCTAATCTATTACACATAGTGAGTGAGTGAGTTAGTTTTACACAGTATCTACCAATATTCCATCAATCTCACCACAGGGGACACCAGAAATGGGCTTCACACATTGTACCTATGTGGGGAATCGAACCTGGACCTTTGGCGTGACGAGCGAACGCTTCAACCACTAGGCAACCCAACCGACCAGAACATAATCTGACCCATCACGATGTCCAACATTTTTGCTATTTCTCAAAAGAAACATGCCTAAACCCAGTTTGAATCTTTGAAAACCTGTTCATAACCAGCAGTATACATGCATAATATTATGGAATTGTATTGAGACGCCTATATACTTACAGCTGTATACCATCGGATAGGAAATTTAATATGCTACATTTATTTGTAATTTTGTAGCAGTACGTAGATCCGCAATTCTCGCACAACGTTCACTTTTCAACCTTATGAAAAAACTTGTCGCCATCCAGGGGGTTAAACCCAGTTTGAATCTTTGAAAACGTTTTAATCAGCAATCAGCAATATATACAGTATATGGAATTGTATTGGTAACACCAGCTGTGGTAATTTAAAACTGAACCGAGAGTTGGTGTTTTGTTAGTTGTTTAACACCGAAGTCGGCAATAAGACGGAGCTTTGTCAATACTCAAATCTGGACCAGAAAATCCAAAGATCGCAACGCAGACAATTGGGATCGATGACCTGTCAACCATGTCAGCGAGCCTGAGGACTCGGTCACGTTAGTTGTCAATGCATTTGTCGATAAAATTCCTAGACCCTGAAACACGTGATAATATGTCTACTTATTTTAGTTGTGTAGGTTGATGTAACACCGTACTTGCCGTATTTCTTAATAATAATATATGAGTTGATTTGTTATTTATAAAAACAGTTTTGGCCAGTATCAAGAAGAGTTTCAAAATTCAACCATAGATGATTTTCATCAAGACCTTTATCATAGGCGGATCCAGACGGGGGGGGGTGCGGGGTGCGCACACACACACACACACACACACCCCACCCCCCTTTGTCCTGAAAGTTTATTAAATGACCATTGAAAGTCTGGTGAAAATGAAGTGTGCACCCTCCCTTTTCTCAGTTGTGTGCAAACCCCCACCCCCACCCCCACCCCCACCCCTTTCTCAAAAAGCTGTATCCGCCCCTGTTTATGGATGTAAGACCTCGGGACAGAGAGACATCGAGCTTGGACCAGGATATCAATGTAACGGGGGTGGTCTCCCCTTGTGGTATCACCGTTGGGCCCCACCTGGGACGATTACGCAATCGTGATCAGTCGTGTCATTCCGGCACAGACATCGGAAAAGAGCGAGTGACGACCTCTAACGGGTCTCCATGGAGACCGCTATTTACACGACGCCATTTTGGTTGTTGATGCTACACTTTGTTTCCACGTCAGTGTTGACATTTCGCTGTTTATCCCGCACGTATCTCACGTTCTGCACGATGTATGCTTCTGTTGCTTTGGCCTATCATCAAGGTATCTAGTAGTGGCGTTTGTGGGAAGTTATTTTGTTTTTTTATGTTCATTTCTTAATTTCAGTTTGATGCCTCCACGGGGGCTTGTAATGCTAAAAACTGCCATCAAGGTATGTCCTGTCACTGACGGGGTCTTAGCACTGTATAAAAGGATTCTTTTATATAGTGATAAGACCCCTCAGTGACAGTATATGCCTTCATGGCAGTTTTTAGCATTACAAGCCCCTGAGGATGCCTCTTGGCCTATTGTATTCCAAACTTGAATCGTGCCCTGAAGATTTGGAAACAATAAAAAGTTAAACAATTGACTGACATACTGATTAAAAAAAAGAAAGTTCATTCGCCGATCCCTTGTTTATGTTCATGAATTACTATTTGTGTTACAAATGATCAAATGTTTAAACGAATGGGTGTTGATGGGACGCTTGAAAGTATTTCTGTAAAGGGTTTGGAAACTCCCTTATTAGTAATCTCAACGAAGTGAATTCTGTTATTAACATCCAATGTAACATAAATTCCTATGGTAAGATCATATTGATATGTGTTTACGTATCATGACGACGGTAAATTCCGATCAATGGGCCCCTTTCTTCCCTTGGCTACTACTAGTTGAACTTCTCAGGATTGCCTGAAATATATTTCTTAGAGTATAAGTGCATCATAAAAATAATGATATTTACAGTGGTAGTGTAGGTTTTCATACACCAACTTGTAAGTAACAGTTGTGTCAAGGGGAGGTACTTTTTCATGTCCAAGACCATTTTGGCCAGACCATTTTACCTCAAAGAAAGTATAATAACTAAACAAAACCAACCAGACAAACAACCACCTAACAATAAACAAAACACCATGAATCTTACAGTAAAGTCTACAGTCAATACTATCAACACAATACATTGAGATTCAACTCTAGCACCTTCCACAGTGTAAGTAACAATTGTATCAAGGAGAGAAATTTTGTCATATATGTCTCAATATGTCCAAGACCAATTTAAAGAAATTTAAAATTATTTAAAATAAAAGCAACAGATACAACAAACTAAACCGAACCCAAGAAACAAACGGCAAACGATGAAAAACAAAACAACAATCACCATGATTCTTACAACAAAGTCAGTCCATTTTCGGGTTAAGTCTATAGTCAATGAGTGTAAAGTATTGAGACAATACATTGAGATTGAACTGTGTTGATGTATTTTATATATTAGTGTAATATGTATTCCATTCCAGCTCTGGACGATCTCCACAGGTTTAGGACCTACCAGGACCCCGTCTCCCAAAAGTCTCTCCCAGTCCCTGATCCTGTAGGTCATCCATAGGTCCCAGTTGTTTGAGTGTATCCTGTTACAAAAAACAAATCTCGAGAACCAGTTTGAAACATGGAATTGTATAACAAGATATGAACAAAAAATCATTTTTGAGATATCTTAAATATCATTTTAATTTGAAACCAATAAAAACAACATTAAATATCTCATAATCCTAGCCAAAGTTCTCTCAAATCAAATATGAAATAACAATCTCATATAATTTCAATAGTATGTTCATCATATCCCTATCTAAATATACTACATGTATATTCATGGAAGTATGATCATTATGTCACTAGATACCATTACTACAAGTTCTTGTCCCCACATAGGATAGGTTTTGTTCGTTCCTAGCCTATTCTTTGTGACATGACTGATAAAATAGAGATAACAAATATGTGAAATATTAATAAACTGCTTATAGTCAGTACTTAATTTAGCAATGGAAGTTTATCAGCATTATTCTATCCCTCCCTTACATAACAATATAAATGCATGACCTTTTTACGAACACCTTGTATAACAACTAATTCACAGTGATTCGAAAAGGTGTTTTATTTCATCTTGCTCTTCGCTGAAATGTCCCCGTTAAGCAGTATACTAATGACGAAAAGTAGTCGACTTTGGGGTGTTTTCTTAATGCAGGCCTTTTTGTACAACTGTCAGTTAACACTGATTTCACTTGCATTATTCTATCCCTCCCTCACATAACCAGAATCCGAATGTATGATCTATTTGCAAACACCTTGTAATAATAGATAATGATTCAGAAAGGTGTTTTTACTTGCTCTTTGATCAAATAGCCATGTGAAACAGTGTACAAATGGCATTGTCAACATGTAAGCTACTTCGTTAAGTTATCAATTAATACTGATTTTAATGATATAGAGAAATCTGTTTCCTCTCTAAAAGCGTTCTGGTGTCTTCACGATCACCGTCAACCCCCTCTACAACCTGCCCGACCCCCTGACCTCCCTCCCCGTCCCTGCCTCCAGAGCCCGTCCTCAAGTTGTGGAGATCGATCTTGGTGAAGAATCCAAGCAGCCCCAGTCGTGCTCGGCTGTCCTTGTGTCTTGTGTGAAGTACATGTTCCAGAGTTTCTTCACACAGACATAGACTTTGGATGTGTGTGTTGTGTTGTGTGAACTGCTAGTTTTTGGACCTTTCGGATAATCTGTTTTGACTGTTTGGGCTAATTGTTGATAATATATTGTTTCATATCATATAAAATCATATATTAAAACGCATGTTAATTACGTTGTTGCCTCAAGAAAGGGTCTTATACATTCGTATTTTACTCCAGGAACAGACCATTTGATATTCAGGTGTTGGGACTAGGATGTTATGGATACAAATCAGCTGGCCCAGAAAATTAAAGAAACATATACTTATGTTACAAATAGTTATGTTATAAGTCAACAAAAAAACAAACAACAGTTATCTCCCACAAAAGTTACATTGTTGAACTGTGGTTCCCTTAAGAAAATGTTCAGTTGATTATTGGTTTGAAGTTCAAAATCCCAGAACTCCCCTCCTCCCCCGAAATTTAAATGGTCGGTTCCAAATGTCAGTTCCTGAATTTTGTCTCCACCCCAAGACTCCTGTCATGTGTAGTAAGTACTCGGCGTCATTTCAACCATTGAGACGAGACCAAGTCTACACATACAAAGTTATATTTAAATAAATTTCTTTACATACTTATTTCAATACAGTATACTATTATCGTTAATAAAAATTGTCACACCAAATTTAGAAATATACAGTAAACTACTCATCAAAAGTCAGATATCACTTCTTGCTACCACTAAACAAAGTGAACTTTGAAAAAGACCACTAAGATCTGTAGCGCAATTAGGGTTGCGCCACAGAGAGAAAACTGACCAGTCTTCTTATATGCGAGCAAGCTTATAGGAAGACTGGTCATTTGACTCTCCCTATTTGCGCTACAGTTTGCCTGTGGTTCAAGTATGCAGAAATTGACTATTACTTCTTCCAACCCCAATGGCTTACACCTTTGATATCAACTAGATTATATATTGTAGTGATGTCTTCAGAGTGACTCCTGTGATAGTTTGCCAATTTGTATTATAACTGACAATGTTCCAAGCTTACGACATACGATAGTACAGGTACAGGCTATTGTTTCAACCTGAATTGTGCAGACATTTGGAACCCCTGTCTTCGTTGTAAATATAGGAGAACTATATTTCTATTTTGGAACAAGATGATACTCTTGTTACTGTCTTTTAAAAACATTTGAGAACAATTGCTGTGTACAGCAAAGTATTCATCTGTTTCAAGATGTGTGGGATTTAAGGGAAATAACTCCAGCTTAACTAATCCGTGACTTACAATGTTATCTCCCATTTAACAGCAGCTTGTGTGAAATATATGGTAATCTGGCATTTCGCACACAACTTTGAAAGGACGGCTGGTTATTCATTCCAATGGCTCAGATATTATTTCAAGGCCCAGTCGAGATGGCTTAGCAATGTTGGGCAGATTTGTAGGGACCCTGATGAACTGGTTTGGCAAAAGGAGAAAGAAAATTCTAAACTTCACTCCTGCTGTTTGACATTATCGTAAGTATGTCAAACTATAAACAACCATTCTGAAGTAAATTCATGTTGCCTAGCAACCGTTACTGTGCCTACAACAGTTTTATTTTACAGTTTTGTGATGGAAACATTCAAGTAGTCACTAAACTTTGGATGAAAATAATATTTTTCTAATTTTCAGAGTACGTGGTCATAACATTTTGAAGCGAAATAACATAGTCAGTTGTTTCATTTGATTACATGAATACGGACCCGTGAAGGTCCGGGTTAAAATTGGTGTCCAATAACCCATGCTTGACACATGTTATCGTGTCACAATTGCGTAGAATGATGCCCATGCTGTTGATCACTGGATTGTCTGGTCCAGACTCGATCACCTACAGACCGCCGTCATATAAAGAATCGGCTTCACACATTGCTGGTGTTTCCCGAAGATATATTGTGATGTATGATAACCTATTTATTGTCCCGGTGTACATATCACGTGATCATTACTTTCTGGTTTCAGTTCACAAACACTTCTCCACACATTCGTAAAGGTTGTCAAGACTGGAGACGGTTTGCAACCAACTGAAATGGAAGTCGCAGACATGGAAGAAACGTGAAAACGACAAAACTGAATCGACTACACTGTATCTCAAAGATTCTCAGAATAAAAATGAATCGTTCATGACATATTTCGTTTTTATCTTCCATCATATCGTGTTACATATGATCTCTCTTTGAAGATCCGGGTTAGAATTAGTCTTCAGCAACCCATTCTTGTCGTAAAAGGCGACTAACGGGATCGGATGGTCAATTAGCTGACTTGATTGACGCATGTCATCGTATCCTAATTTCGTAGATCGATGCTCATGCTGTTGATCACTGGATTTTGTTGTCCAGACTTGATTATTTACATACCACGGCCATATATTTGGACTATTACTGAGTGTGGTGTTAAACAACAAACAAACAAAACAAAATACACAGACCCCTAGTCCACTGAATCTGCCGTCGTCCTCTTTAAGTAGTGGCCTTTTTCTGGGAAGGAAGGATGATGTTATGGGTTAGCATCATGATATAGACACAGTAATCCGTAGCATGGTGGACCATCACATCATCTACATCTACAACCAACCGTAATATTAATATCAATATCAAAGTTGGCAAAGACATCGTTGATAACGATGTCAGAACTCAGACCATTAGTCTAATTATTATGTTGTTATGGCAACTTCCTGACATTTTCTTGTGAGACTCGTCCTCCACATCCTTCCAAAAGGTCTTCATCGCAATTCACTTGAGTCCCGATTCACTTTGCACATCCGTGAGGTGCGTGGTCGTGCCTGGTGACCATGAAATAAACGTTAACGCAGTGTCAACCTAAGGTGTTGGGTGTTGATTTGGTGTTGGGTCAGTTATGGTGTGGTGTGGTATCTTGACTGAAGTCCACACCATATTGTGCAAGGTCGCTGGAGGGTGGGAGTACTATATCAGAGCAACATACTGACACCCCTTTGCCGTTTTCAAGGCTTATAGGTCAACATTTTGTTTTTCAGGACGACAGCACCTGTGTTCACAAATTGTCAATGTTCACATCCAGCAGCACAACATCAATAAAATACCACTGGCCAGCACTAATCCATAACCTGTCTCTTACTGACCGAACTTGGTCAGGCAGGTGACAAGAGGTGCAGGAAAGATTTCCTCCAATCGCCATTGGGAGAGGTTTTTTTAAACAGTATATGTGTTGACATTCCGTTTACGTCCATTCAAGTTTCAGTGTCAGTGTTCTGTAATTAATGATAACAAACAACTTCTGGTAATGGACATTGGGCATTAAATCATGCAGAAAATATTCAAACTGAAAAATATGAATCCAGCGTTTCACTCGACATTTCTACCTCACTGCATACACTTGAACTTAAACAGTAATACACAAGATTAAACATGAAATCCAAGCCCTTCTTGTCTTTAAAAATAAAAGTTCAACATTCAGGGGGTTCGCTCACGTCTTCTCATGTGATATTGTACTCACATTTTTAACATACCAAATATTCAACTCGGAATTCCTCATGCCTCATGATGTTTGAGGTTCTGTGACTGGGCTCAGTCAGTTACTTTTTACAGTAGCACATTCCACATCACACAGTTCTATTCTCAATGAGACTGTACAGACTAACTAATTTTCTGATAGGCAATCAGATATGTATTAGTCATATCTAATCTATTACACATAGTGAGTGAGTGAGTGAGTTAGTTTTACACAGTATATACCAATATTTCATCAATCTCACCACAGGGGACACCAGAAATGGGCATCACACATTATACCTGTGTGGGGAATCGAACCTGGACCTTTGGCGTGACGAGCGAACGCTTCAACCACTAGGCAACCCAACCGACCAGAACATAATCTGACCCATCACGATGTCCAACATTTTTGCTATTTCTCAAAAGAATCATGCCTAAACCCAGTTTGAATCTTTGAAAACCTTTTCATAACCAGCAGTATACATGCATTTGGAATTGTATTGAGACGCCTATATACTTAAAGCTGTATACCATCGGATAGGCAATTTATTATGCTACATTTATTTGTAATTTTGTAGCAGTACGTAGATCCGCATATTCTCGCACAACGTTCACTTTTCATCCTTATGGGGAAAAAACCCCGTCACCATCCAGGGGGTTAAACCCAGTTTGAATCTTTGAAAACATTTTAATCAGCAATCAGCAATATATACAGTATATGGAATTGTATTGGTAACACCAGCTGTGGTAATTTAAAACTGAACCGAGAGTTGGTGTTTTGTGAGTTGTTTAACACCGCAGTCGGCAATAAGACGGAGCTTTGTCAATACTCAAATCTGGACCAGAAAATCCAAAGATCGCAACGCAGACAATTGGGATCGATGACCTGTCAACCAAGTCAGCGAGCCTGAGGACTCGGTCACGTTAGTTGTCAATGCATTTGTCGATAAAATTCCTAGACCCTGAAACACGTCATAATATGTCTACTTATTTTAGTTGTGTAGGTTGATGTAACACCGTACCGTATTTCTTAATAATAGTATATGAGTTGATTTGTTATTTTCATAAACAGTATTGGCCAGTATCAAGAACAGTTTCAAAATTCAACCATAGATGATTTTCTTCAAGACCTTTATGGATGTATAGAAAGACCTCGGGATAGAGAGACATCGAGCTTGGACCAGGATATCAATATAACGGGGGTGGTCTCCCCCTTGTGGTATCACCGTAGGTCCCCACCTGGGACGATTACGCAATCGTGAACAGTCGTGTCATTCCGGCACAGGCTGCGGAAAAGAGCGAGAGACGACCTCTAACGGATCTCCATGGAGACCGCTATTTACACGACGCCATTTTGGTTGTTGATGCTACACTTTGTTTCCACGTCAGTGTTGACATTTCGCTGTTTATCCCGCACGTATCTCACGTTCTGCACGATGTATGCTTCTGTTGCTTTGGCCTATCATCAAGGTATCTAGTAGTGGCGTGTGTGGGAAGTTATTTTGCTTTTTTATGTTCATTTCTTAATTTCTTAATAAAAGGTTAAACAAATGACTGACATACTGAGTAAAAGGAAGAAAGTTCATTCGCCGATCTCTTGTTTATGTTCATAAATTTCTATTTGTGTTACAAATGATCAAATGTTTAAACGAATGGGTGTTGATGGGACGCTTAAAAGTATTTCTGTAAAGGGTTTGTAAACTCCCTTATTAGTAATCTCAACGATGTGAATTCTGTTATTAACATCCAATGTAACATATAAATTCCTATGGTAAGATCATATTGATATGTGTTTACGTATCATGACGACGGTAAATTCCGATCAATGCCCTCCTTTCTTCCCTTGGCTACTACTAGTTGAACTTCTCAGGATTCCCTGAAATATATTTCTTAGAGTATACATAATATAATAATAATATTTACAGTGGTAGTGTAGGTTTTCATACACCAACTTGTAAGTAACAGTTGTGTCAGGGCAGGTAGTTTTTCATGTCCAAGACCATTTTGGCCAGACCATTTTACCTCAACTAAAGTATAAAAACTAAACAAAACCAACCAGACAAACAACCACCTAACAATAAACAAAACACCACGAATCTTACAGTAAAGTCAGTCCGTTTTCGGGTAAAGTCTACAATCAATACTATCAACACAATACATTGAGATTCCACTCTAGCACCTTCCACAGTGTAAGTAACAATTGTATCAAGGAGAGAAATTTTGTCATATATGTCCAAGACCAATTTAAAGAAATTTAAAATTATTAAAAAACAAAAGCATCAGATACAACAAAAGAAACCGAACCCAAGAAACAAACGACAAACAATGAAAAACAAAACAACAATCACCATGATTCTTACAGTGATGTCAGTCCATTTTCGAGCTAAGTCTATAGCAAATGAGTGTATAGTATTGAGACAATGCATTGAGATTGCACGGTGTTGATGTAGTTTATATATTAGTGTAACATGTATTCCATTCCAGCTCTGGACGATCTCCACAGGTTTAGGACCTACCAGGCCCCCGTCTCCCAAAAGTCTCTCCCAGTCCCTGATCCTGTAGGTCATCCATAGGCCCCAGTTGATTTAGTGTCCTATAAGAACAAAGAAATCTCGAGAAACAGTTTGAAACGAGTTATTGTTTTGATAAATATGGAATTTTATGAAAAGATATCAAGAAAAACTTTTAGAAAAATTGTTTAGGCATGAAAGTCAGGAAAGTATAGTCACTGTGCAGGCTATCTGTTCGAGAGACCCACACGTATACCGTTCAAACAAGTTCTTGTCATCCCAACACCAGATAGGTTCTATTCGTTACTATCCAATTAGATAATCTTTGTGACATGACTGATAAAAAAGTGACACTTCTTATAATCAGGACACATTTTAGCAACTAACGCAATGAAAATATCTACGTGAAACAGTGTACAAAGGACTTTTTCATGTCTTCCACCAGAAAGCTTTTACGTTAAGTTATCAGTTATTACTGATTTCAATGTTTTAACGAAATCTTTTTCCTCTCTAAAAGCGTTCTGGTGTCTTCACGATCACCGTCAACCCCCTCTACTCCCTGCCCGACCCCCTGACCTCCCTCCCCGTCCCTGCCTCCAGAGCCCGTCCTCAAGTTGTGGAGATCGATCTTGGTGAAGAACCCAAGCAGCCCCAGTCATGCTCGGCTGTCCTCGTGTCTTGTGTGAAGTACATGTTCCAGAGTATCTTCACACAGAGATAGACTTTGGATGTGTGTGTTGTGCCTGTGTTGTGTGAACTGCTAGTTTTTGGACCTTTCGGACAATCTGTTTTGACTATTTTGGCTAATTGTTGATAATATATTTTATTGTTTCATATCATGATATAAGTAAAACGCATGTATAAACGTTGTTGCCTCAAGAAAGGGTCTTATACATTCGTACTTTACTCCAGGAACAGACCATTTGATATTCAGGTGTTGGGACTAGGATGTTATGGAAACAAATCAGCTGGCCCAGAAAATTAAAGAAACAGATAATTATGTTACACATAATTATGTTATAAGTCAGCACAAAAGAGTTGTCTACCACAAAAGTTACATTGCTGCACTGTGGTTTCCTTAAGAACATGTTCAGACGATTAGATTGAAGTTCAAAATCCCAGGAACCCCCTCCTCCCCCGAAAATTA